CCTGAGATCCCTTCCAACCCCTACCATTCTGCTATTCTGTGAAATATCTATCCTGGCCAGCTATTGCACCTTGCAACCAGTAATATATTTTCCTTGCCAAACTTACGGTTACAGGTATTATCAAGTGCACGTTTGGGGAACTGATCTTCACAGAGATTAAATGTCAGGTTTTTAACTGTGTTTAAGCATGCAGCAGCACAGACTGAGATTTACAATATTCCCAAGTGTTGGAAAGGGTAATGCAGTTGTAATGCCTCCATTACCACCCTTGAACCCAAACCACAGATGCTGTCTCCAACTGAATGTGCCTAAACCTTTTAAAGATCTGACCTTTTTCACTTATTCAGGAACACAAAGAAATTCAGTACCAAAAAAAAATACTGACCCTGGATCTCCAAGATCCCAGGCAAGCAGCATGACCAATACAACCACCTTACTTACAGATGCTTGTAAAGAAACTGGGGAAATTCACTTTCTTTAGGTATAGAGGAGACCCTATTTGACTGTACTCGGATATCATGGAGACAATAGCAGAAAGGAGCAGAAGTTAAGATAAAGTGACCCCCAGACACTGACTTAACCTACTAGACCCTCAGATCTGTGTAAAATAGTGAGAGGAGGTCAGCAAAGTTAGTCTTTATTTTTTCAAGTTGTACCAAATCTTTATGCATAAAGCAGATAGGACCTTGGACATTAGGATCCAGCCCCATCACTATGCAGGCCAGGCCACACAGAAAATTGAAAAAATTAGTTGATTTCATAAACATAAGGTGCATTATCTGGCTCTTCAGGCATTGCAAGGTGGCAAACCCACAACTGCAAGGAATTTAATTACAGGGCTGCCTGGCACCAGCCACCTACCGTCCCATCCCCACCGCAGGCCAGGATCCGCAGGTTTGGCACTTTTCTGTACAGGTCCAGCCTGGCCAGGGGAGGGAAAAGAAGAAAGAGGGGTGTGAGGGAAGAGTCAGAAAAACTATGCAGGCACTTTTTATGCACTTTGCCAACTGAGAGTTTAACCACCACTTGGTTAGACAGCACCTCCTGAGAAGTATTTGATCAGTTTTGCCTGATCCCATGCTAAATCTGAAAGGCCAGATTCTCATGTTCCCTCTAGAAGACAAAAGTCTTCCATTTTTTTTCTCTTGTCCTAAAGCAAACAAATATAAACATTGAGGTTTTTAAATACAATTTAATGTTATTCATTAGGATTTGCTGAGACACCATTTCTGAGGCATGTAGAACAGTAGAGCTCCTTCAGCTGGTAACTGTATATCTTTATCATCACTGAAGGCAATAACATCTAACAGCTCTTTCTCTGGATATCTGATCCAAGATACCAACAGGAGAACCAAAAAAACCCCACCCATTAAAGACTTGTTCTTTCAGTTGCATGAAAAAGAGGTATAATGAAATTTCTTCCAGCAGAGGAGGCACATTCACACACAGAGAGCTGTGTGACCAAAGAACCTAATCCTCCTTTAACTCCATTACGCAGCTCTAAAATTTGTAGATATACTTTAAAGCTTCTATACATCATGAAAAGAGCAGCAGTGGAGGTGTTTCAGCAGTAAAAAAAGGCTTGGGTGCTCTTTAAATATGAATAGCAAATACTTGAACCATTCTTACAGAGATAAATATTTGACTTTACATGATTACTATCTTTTCTTGCTGCCTAACTTGTGAAAGTATAGCTGAACAGATGGTTGACTAAAGCTAATACCCCTATCACAAATACCATAGAAGGATAGTCTCTTAACCCTTAGCAGTGAGAATCATTCCTTCAAAGACCAGTCCTCCATCCCCTGGAAGAGGTTCATAACTATTGCCCAGAGAAGCTGAGTTAGTTACTCAGCAAGCGTAGGTACTTGCATACTGCTATCATGTATGGAAATCTGGAGGTAGCCTCAACCCATTGCAATGCTCAGCCACTGAGGAATGGTCAGGCCCTATGGGATCTGCAATGGGTCCTTCTTGGAGCCATCTGGAACTGGCTGTCTGACATGGGGATATCTCCTGATCTCTTTTCACAGAAGCCAGCACTGCAGCCCACCCTCCCACCACTACCAAAATCTAGACATGTAAACCCAATATGCAGTTCACCAATTTTGCCAAGCTAGACCTTTAATTACTTTCCTTATAAGAAAAGAATTATTGTCTGCAGCACTGGAGGCTCAGAACTTACGCATCTCTTGGCCCTTCCTGAGAGAGATCAAATACCTGGCGTGGATTCAAATACCACATAAACATTTGTAGAACCTTGGTGCCCTAGGAAAAGAGAAAAATCAAAGAAAGGTAAATTGTGAATAACTTTATGATTATTAGAAATAATAGTGTTCAATATTCACTATATTTGAACTGTTTTTCTCTCTTCTGTGCTTTACAAAGCAAACAAACCAAGAAAAATACAAACTAGAAAGCAGCATAGCAGATGACTGCTCTACAGAATAGCAACTCGCCAATCTGGGCAGGGTGCATATGTATACATATTAACTAAATTTAACAACATAGATCATTATAATTAATAGTTCATAAGAACAGGCATTCAGGGTCAGACCAAATGTTCAGCTTTCACAGCAACCTGTTCCCCTACCTCTCATCACCTGCAAAAGAGAAATCTGTTATCGCACACCACCCTCAGTGACCCATAGCAGCAAGAAGTTAAACAAGATTGTTGGCAAAGTCACCATCACATTAAACAGTGTCCTGCAAGATATCCAAGCAATGACACTGCTTTGACCTCCACCATCACCACCATGAACGCTCATAACCGTAGCCCTCTACCACATAATGAAGCAGGAGCCAAGGACTCTGGGCTACACTTGCCCGAATGCTTCCTCAGTGCAGTGAGGTCATCACCTAAAGATACCATTTCTGCCTTCTCAAACTCTGGGGTTCATATTTTGAACATTCGATTCCCTTCCTTCATGGTCTGCCCAGACACAAAGTAGCAGGATTTTTTACTAGCAGAAGAGGCCTAAAAACCACAACATCCCATGGCAAAGAGTTTTGCAGCTGAACTACACACTGTGAGAAGGAACAACTATTTTCTTTGTTTTGAATCAGTCTTAGCAATTTCATTTTATATCCTGTCTAATTCTTCTAACAGAGGAAGAAGTGAGCAGCAGTTATACTATTCTCCATGCACTACAGGCTTCTTATATCTTACATCAATCTTATCTTTTCAACTAGAAGGCCTTGTTTATGAAAAGACACTCAAATTATTTGATATTCCAAAAGTAGCAGCATTAATCTGCAAAACTTTCACTTGGATAAGTTTTAATTCTAAGAACCCCAAGAAAGACATCTGTTGCATGATCATGTTAGTCACTGAAACTTGGCTCTCTATGGCACAGTATAAGACCAGCAATGATTTTTTTAAATGCCATAGGAATGTGTCATTTCACATTCATTATTTTCCCTAGGCTTTCCTAGTAAAATTAAATCACTTTTTAGATAAAAGTCTAAGACTTCATTGGCAATTTAAATTTTCTGTGGAAAGATTAAGTCTTCGGAAAAACTCCAAACTAACATTTTAGATTGCTTTCAAGGATCTGAAGACTAGCAATACAACTGCTCAAATACTCAAGTGTCCATCCCACCCATTCAATTCCATTGAAGTGGAAAGGGCATTCAACAGCAGGGACCTTTTCTAAGGAATGCAATTCAGTTGCATAGAGTTCTTCCTATCTGACTTAACAAAAACTATTCTCATCTGCAGAAACACTGTTGTTAAACTAAAACTTTGTGACTTGGATCCAGATTACGTTCTTACCTGATTCCCTCCACTTTTTGGATTGACAAAAACCAGCAGCGGCTTCATGAGTGGAGAGGAGATAGGCTTTATCACAAATGGTCGACCTTTGTTATCCTGAGAAACAGAAGCAAGAAACAACATTAGTACAAGCTACTTACAATTCCCTGGCATAACATGCGCAGAACACCCAATCTAGCGCTGACAAAACTACCTCAGGTACTGGAAACAGTACAGCCATGTTAATGGAGTGCTCAGCTGGGACTGATTTATGCAGCTAAGACAACTGAGTAAGAAGATGGCGGGGGGGGGGGGGGAATTCACTTGAGGCCAGCACAAAACTATTTTAAAATTTTATTCAATGTTATTTCCCCCAAAAAAACCCAATTATTCACACAGTGCTAATAATGTCTCAGATAAAGTGCTACTTCTAATACAAAAAATTTTCCAGTGAAAAATAGAATGAGATAAACTACTTATTTCCTGAATTCTGTCTAACAGACAAGTTGTATCAGCACTTAGTTGCAGATGATCTGCTCTTGAATTCTTGGCCTTGCTGATCTTCCCACCTTTGAACAAATGTCACAGGTCAAACATAACATGTCAATGAGGAAGCTATTTGCCTCCCTATGCCCTACCCCTGAAGAACACCAGACAGCCCACTAACGAGGGCACTTTTCTGGGCCGTGTTAGACACAGGTTCAAGTTTTGGGTCTGCAGTTCTCTTTCCACCCAAATGGGGACCTTAACCAGAGAGCCATGGCTATGTAGATGTGAATCATTAGGCTGTTTATCTATATGACTAAACCACAAATCAGGATCCAGAAACAAGGTCTCCTGTAAGCTATGTGGTAAATCAAACCACTGGATCATTCATCTGTTTTCTCTCCCTCCGTGGCCCAATGTCTCTTTGTCACGCAAACAGAATATTTCCAATATGAGATCTCCTGAGGGAGACACCCTTGAACTAGACCAGACCCTTGCATCAGTGCACTCACCACGGATTTCACAACCCCAATTTCACACCCCTGCCCTGCCTAGTGGAAACCAAGGGTCTGAGCCGAGTCTTACATCCCAAGGGAATTCTGTTTCATTAGGCTGCTGGTGCTTCTGAGATTTGGTTAATTGTTTCTTGAAAAAAAAATCAAAACTTCTCATGCAAGTTTTATCAAAACAGATCTCTTCTCACAACAAATTCATTAGTGTGAAATATTCCAGTGGAAAAATATATTAAACACTGCAGTAAAAAAATTAAACTTTAAAGTCTGTGTTTAGACTTTTAAACAAAAGGAGTATGATTTCCAAAGCACCCGAATACCTACTTCATTGCCTCTTTTGCTGGCTTTTCTTTTAAAAGATGTTCGCTTCTTTCGACGTGTTGAAGTCTTTAATGAATTCTACATCAAAAGAAAAAAAGAACACATGAAAAGCAAAACAAAATTTAGAAGACAGGCCCAGACAGAGCCCCTTTACGAAGCTCTTCCATGCATGTCCACTTGGAGAATGATAAGAGTATCTGGCACATGCTCGAGATTTAAATTACATGCGCTGCATGCTTTACACTTCCACACCACCGTTTATGGAGAAAGCCACACACGGAGACCAGACTGGTGCTTTGGAACTGGAAACTTTCCCACGCTGTGAGGGGGAAAAAAGATCAGATGCTCCCATAGACTCACATAACACCACATGTTGTACCTGCCAACCCTCCCAATAGGGGTAGGAGACGCCCATTTCCCCTTCGGGGCTCCAGTCTCCTGCCCAATCAGGCTCGTCTCCTGGTATGGAGACCACCTGCATAAAGATGTAATAAAAAACATGATAAATGAGATATTTTTCATGTTTTTTTTTTTTAGGAAAGAAAACAACAATTTTTAGCTCTGGCAACCATTGTGAATCAACATAACGTAGGCCACCATGGTGTATGACGCTGGTACTATGGAGTCAGATGTAGCCTATCAAGAAACTTGTGTGGTCATCTGCTAAGGAACAAACTGAATTGTTAACATTTAAGGATTTGGGTGAGGGGCAGTGTTTGCAGGGTTTTTGTTTGCTTTGTTTTTAAATAACAATATCACTTAAGTACATGGGAAATAAAACAAACAAACAAAAGCCAAAAACATAAAACTGTTTGTATTTTTGCAGAACCTATTAAAATAGAACTTGCATCAAAGCTATTCTCCAGGCTGGCAATAGCCTGTTAAGTGATACTGAATCAAAAGGTGTTCTGGTGTGATAAGAACAGTCCAAAAAGGGGAATTTTATTTTCCAATTAGTTTAATTCAGTAACTGACATCATACCCCTCCAGGAAACCCTAACCCTGCCATGTGATTGAAATTTTGTATCATAAAAAATACTGAAAATATTTTCTCAGTATTTTAACTGCTAGTCTAGCCATCACCAGGAAATAAAGTAATACAGGGAATTAGAAGAAAGTTTATTGATTTTTTTTTTTTTCTGGCTTCAAGAGGGGAAGCGAGATCCCCTCAGCTCATCCAGAAATTCATTTCTGTCCTGACTTTATTCAAAAGTGTACCACTAATGAAAAAAGTCAATGACCAGAGATCACCAAATCTGTAAGAAGTGATGTCTATCCTTAATCCTGCTTGATATTCAACATTAACAAGAATAGCTACTAGATTCTGTTTAATACCTAACAACCATTTCCAGAATATCAAAACTTCAGTATGACACACCAGATATAGAAGTTAATGTTTCCATATCTGTGAGAAGTCAAGAAAAACAAACAGCTGTCTAACTCAAATACCTAAAGACACTGTCCTTTTTCACCCAAACCAAGAGAAACCTGCTGTAGGGCACAAGATCCCAAGCTTTTTGTCACCTTTCAACATTTCTTCTGGACCAGGATGTAGCCATGTCTTGTTGCTTACTGAAAATACTGAAGACGAGACAGTTCTGTGTAGCAATTACAGGACTTTTGCCCTTTTAGACCACATTTTGAGAGACCATCTAAAGAAGTGTTTATATTCTTCCCTACTCTGATACAAAGTGATCTTGAAAGCAGGATAAACCACAAAGACTGCAATGACTACGGAAGTGCATCAGCAATACCATGTGCATGGCCTTTCACTGCCCTGTCTCAGCAGCCAGACTGACTGTAGACAAAAGTCTTTACGTTAATATAAAGGTACAGGACATTAGTCTCAAAGCTGCCTCCTGTGGGTGCTTTAGTCTGGCTTCTCAGCCGTTCTCTGCTAAAGGATTCTCCCTGGATTGGGGCAAAACTCATGACAGAGAGAAGAGATCTAGTCTGTCCTCACTCTTGCCAGTGGTCTGCTGAGAGGTCATGGGCATATCAAGACTTCTCTCTGTGCTTCAGTCTCTCCTGGTGTAAAATTCAAAATACTTATCCTATTAGTAAAGCACAGCAAATTCTGCTGGCAAATCACAGTCTGTAACTCAAGTTAGGTATTATACTAGGCAAATACTTAACGGTACCTCTGGAGGAATGACTACTTCTTTTTCTGCCTCCACAACAGATGGACCTAAGCCCAGTGAAATTCTTCTGGAAAGGGCAGAGATAGTAAAATCTTGACTAATTTTAAAAAAATAATAATTTAAAGGTTTAAATGTAGTTGTCATTAAATCCCATTATAACATATCTGTCGTCTTGTCTGTGGGTGGGGTGGGAAGAGGCATACAACTATACTAGAGAAAAAGTTATAGTCTAAGCCTCCATTCATTATTATAACATTTTTCATTTCCACACTCAAAAAGGCAATAAAATATGCTGTGTCACAACTATGTTATTTCACATTTAAAAAAAAAAAACAAAAAAAAAAACACAACATGCCTACACCTATAGTTTAGAGAACCTAAAGCTTTGCTATGATGAATGCAATTGTATGTCCATAGCAGATGAAAGGCAAAAACGCTGCTTAAACATATGTAGGTTCTCTTTACAAACATGCAGAAGAATAACAGGCAATAGTAACCATCAGTCTTTGCACATTAAACTGAAGAAATGGATAAATACTACCTTGTCCACTTAACAAGGTGATGAGTATTTATAAATATATAGTGCTATTCAGTGAAGTACCTGATAGCAAAGCATACCTTTAAATGGGCACCATATGTAAATCCTAACTTGCCTCTAAAGAGGAAACCTCTCATTTGCAGATGTCAGTGTGGCCATCTTAAAGAAATATTTTTTATATTATTGCATGGTCACTGTAGTTCTAAGCAAGTTTAGCTAGATGAACAGAAGAATTGGAGTCCTTTTTGTATGATGTAGGGTCATGTGAGGGTTACAGACTATCTCAAGTAAACCAAATGGACTCTTTCAACCCTTTCATTTACAACATTTTAGCCTTCATTTTCAAAGGTTTTTAGCATGCCAGGCTTCAAATGACTTAAATAATGAATAGCCTCTAGGAAGGCCAATCTTGATCACCTTCTGGTTGTTCACAAACCACAATCTGACAAGCCAGTTGCATTCAGTAGTTGGGAAAATAAAGAAATAAACCCAGAAGTATAAATATTCACTAATACTTTTTCAAGGTCCTCAAAGGAGGAAAAGAAGAAAACACCACATTTACTCACCTCAAACAGAAAAAAATCTGGAATTTTACATTTACTATCTTTGCCTTCCCAAACAGAAGACTAGCTGAATCAGCCAAATCCTCCTTACTAGCTACTTTTCTCCCACAGCATAAGCATAGCATAGAGCTAACTTGACCTACCAAAATTCACCTATAAAAAAATACCACCAGCCAACACAGGTAACCTGCTCTCACAAACTAGGAGATGGAATTGATTTGAACCCCAGGAAATCAGAGTTGGGACCAAATGCTGCTAACACAGTACAGAAACATGGGAAATCAGTAAAGAAGTTACAGAAGTGGCTCACACTATGAGTAACATGGAATAGATACGGGGAATTTTCCATTCATGTAAATGGGTTATTACAAACAGGGCTACCACCAGTCCAAAAGCTATTTGAATCATTCTGAATATTCTTCATCTTGTAGTCAATTGCTTGCAAGAAATGAAAGCTCCCCATTTAGATTGTAGGTTGTCAGCAGAGATTATCTTTAACCAATTAACACCATAACGTTTCATTACCATAACATTGCTGGTAATCAGATTCTGTGATTCTGTGATTCTCTTTATTTAAGCCCAGAATATGAAAGGTGGTGACCCATGTTGTACAAACTAAGCATGGAGAACTATTTTTGTAGCAATAAAAAGAGAAATGAAAATTAAAAATCAGAGTAAGGTTTTGCTACAAAAAGGCATCTTATTTGCTTAAAAGAAACAACCAGCAAACAGGATGAAGGCACCACCAAAATCAATTTCATATGAGTAGGCAATTCAGTTCAGGAGTTGCCTGTGACCAATGTGAGTCGTTAAATAGAGCTGAGGAAATAATTTATAGCAAAAAGCCTTATAGACAAATTTATTTTGATTGTGGAACATGCAAAAAACAGATTGCTGGCTACACATTTATTTACTATCTGAATTAATAAAAATTTCTGAATATCTTGTTTGTTTTCTGTGGATTAAATGAAGTCAATATTTGCCAGTGTTTATCAAACATGCATATAGGGTGAAGAGGGTCATAATACACAGAAGTAGAGCTGGCCAGAAATAGCAGGAGGGGAGAAAAAGAATATTTCCTTAAAAAAAAAAAATAACCAAACAAAAAAAACCCAAAAAAACAACCCACAAGACTTCTGCCAAAAATCTGAAAGATGCATCAGTATTATCTACAGCAATAAAGATGCATTCCCCCAGAGCTAACACTGCAATGGGTGCTGTTCAGAAATTTCATGGAAATATGCCCATTGTCTGTGCTAAATATAATTTTGATGTATCCAATGCTTCAGTTACTCAAGACAAAATTTTTACCTGCTACTGACCTCAGATTTCAAGGACTCAAGACATGTGGAGAGGGAATATCGAATCAAAGTACTTCCTGTCCACTCATGACTCAGGCACACAAAGCTAACATTTTCTTAAAGATTTAACATTTTAAACCTTTATTAAAAGCATTTTCCCTATGAATTATAATGAACTGGAACAGATTTACTTTTTATTTTAACTTTTCTAAAAAATGAATAGACAAGAAAATTCTCTAAAAATATTATAAGAAAGGTATACTGCACTTGCTAAATGCCAAATCAAAAGAAAATTACAAGTGTAGTTTTGGGGTTTTTTTACTAGCAATTAAATTAAATAAGAATTTAAAAGATCAAAGAAAGGCTTCTTTTAGTAAGGTCAAGACATAGATATGTCTATATTAAAGTGTTTTCTTTTTATTAAAATTTTTTATTTTTGGTTTTAATATAATTTTCCTGATTTTCGTTAAGAGAATGGTGACTGCATTGTATTGTCAGGTCAAAAAAAAGAGGTTTTGGTAAACCATAAAATGATAAAAATCCAATAATCTTTCTTTTTTCACAAGAAAATATATTCAGAAGCATATGAAAGGGATTTTGGTTGGTTTTTCTTTGGTTGTTTGTTTTGGGGTTTGCTTGTTTTGGTTTTAAATGGTGATTTAAAACAATTTGAATGATAAATCAATGGGGAATGTGCTGGCTCAAAAACATTTCATTTCCTTATTAGACCTAGGAAAAAGGCAACATCTCTGACCACAGAAGGTGGTTCTCAGATCAGTTATCTCCCTTCTCCCATGTGTATGGGGTTAGCTGCAGTGAAATGGTTAGGGTACAAAATGCCCAAGGACCCTGGCAGTACTCAATTTCCAGGTTTGGACTGCATCAGCTAGGAAGTCCTTCCTAGTGGTTCCCAGCCCAAGGATCTCTATCTCATGGATCCACCTCAGACCATAAACCCTTAATGTTACAAATTCTGTGGCTCATACCCAAAGCAGAGCTTCCAGGCAGTCTGCTGTGAAACTCAGGGACCTGACGACTTAAGAGTAATGAGCCATACAGTCTCTTTAAGGACATAGTAAAGGAGCCAGCCTCGTTTTTCTGCCACACTGATGCCGAAAATTAGCCAAGAAGATTAAGTCTCTGCCAAGGACTCTTCAACAAGAGAGGAAAAAAAGATTTCTCTGGAAGAGGCTGAAGTAAACTAATAGTGAAAGATGAATGGGGAGGCAGGGGGAAGAATGTAAGTGCCAAAGAAACCTTTTTTCTCAGAGCAGAGGTTACTAGGGATCTTGCCTGTTCTGGACCTAAAGAAGAAACAGTGCTCTCTTTGGTCGACTTTTTGATTACTCTGTACTTTTCTTTCCTCTTCTTGTCTTTAATATCCAGCTTGTTAGAAGTGCTACTCACACACAAATCTGACAGGCATATCCCTAGACTGTAACTAAAGATTAACCAGTGTCCCAACTCTGACCTTTTTCGAGTTCCACGGGACTATTTATGTCTTAGGCCTTTGCCTACAGCCCAAACTTATCTTCTTGCTGCCCACTAGGACACAGAGACAGAAAGCCCTGGGTCAATTCCCAAGGATGGACAAGCTAATGTACAAACTGTACTGTTCATCAGAGGGAGGAGGGGTGGGGGGAACCCCACACAAAACAACCTTGTTTTAGTGCTTCTGAATTAAAACTTTTTCCAGCATTTTCAGCTGCCTGGTATGTTCAGCATATGTTTGTCTGTTTCTTTCAGTTCAACCTGGAGTGAAAACAAGTTTTCAAAGAACAAAATACTTCTTGCATGATGGGAATCTCCTTTTAATTTTTGGCCAGTTCTCTTTTGGATACCTTCTCTCCCTATTGTGTTCACCACAAGGCAGTATCCTGTCTAAAGCATATCACATCCATTACAAAAGCTTGAAGTGAATGTTTATGAATGTTTTTTTCCTCTATTTACTCAGCTCTATTTAATGAAACATGCTTGACTGCCTACAACACAGGGGTTTTCTTGCAGTATGCTCACTGAAGTCACAGTTGGAAGAACAAACCTGAGCTGGATTTGCTCAGAACAAGAGTAATGTTTGTTGCTAATCATCCCAAACAGGGAAACCTACTGAAGGGCTGGATGGAAGGGCAGGAGGATACAGGTTCATAATCACCATGGATGTATGCTGGGTTTCAGGGATAGAGACAGGGTTGAAGAAGCATGCCTTAGTGAAGGAGTGCTGAGCTGCAGAGCCAGGGTGGCCCTGCACAGCCATACCACTTCAGAAACAGACATCAGCATGCAGTTACCTGAGGTTTCTTCACCTTAATGATCCAGGTGGGAGGCACAATGACAGCAGCGTGAGCCCCCAGGGAACATGGTTCCTCAATATGATGTAGCATGAAACAGGTGACTTTATTATGAAACTGTAAGAGAAGAAAAGAGTAGAGTCAATAAAGAGGCCAAGAAAAACAAAGAGAAAGGGGAAGCATGGAGAAGAAGAGGGTGATGGTACAAAAGCTTGTGCAATATTCCCACAACTCCACCACCTTCAAGTCCTTCAAACCATGAAGTTTTAGGAACACATAAATGAAGATCTTCCCCATCCGAGACTACAAGCTAGTTTGATGCAATTGTGTATATAAAAAGCTCTCTGAGCCACCAGCTATGTTGTACAGCAAGACTCTTCTCCTAGAGTACTTATGTAAGCCAGGTGAAGTTATGGTGTCTTTGAGTAAAAGGAACAGAAATGGCAAAATTAGAAGTGATACACAGAGAAGGGAAACTGCTCGCAGTGTGGTCAATTTGGTGATGCTGCTACCGGTCTCCCTGAGTACTGTCCACTTACCGCCAGCTTGCACCAGGAACAACTGATGGCCACAATCTCTTTACTATGGAAGGAGAATTTCTGCTGAAAGCCCTAGAATAAGGAGGAAAAAATTATTAAATTTCTCCTGGCTACAAGAAAATTTACACCTTTAACTCTTGCCAGATTCTAGGCTAAATCAGTTCACTGCAATCAGATACATTGGTTCAGCCTCAAAGCTCTTAAATACCAAACATTTTGAGGGGGATAAAATAATGACAGGATTCAGAGAGGGTTCTTCAACTAGGGCATTTTCATATACACGTTTTAGAGACACTTCTCCAAATTTTTATGCTTTGCCTTAATTTTTGTAGTTAAAAAGAAGGAAAGGAAAAAGCATCACAGAAGAAACACCTATTCCAATGGATTTCTACAGACCTGAATAAGATTCAGATTTGTCAGTTGAAGAGAACATTCTGTCATTGCAGTCTTTTTTTGCTCTAAATATGAACAAGAATTCAAATTTTCATTTTTCTTTGGTTTTGTTGTTGTTGTTTTGTGGGGTTTTTTTAAATACATAGTAGAATCAGCTACAATGTCTATGTAGAAATGTTCTGATTGGGAAATTGTTTATTGCTTTATTAAGCTGAATCGAATCAAAATCTTTTTAGTAAATCACAAAAACCAAGATTGTCTGGTTCAAATCAAACAGATAAAAAATGAAATATTTCTTTATAGTTTTAAAGAGAAAAAAACACCAGCAAATATACAAGATTTTATTCTCCCACAGAAGAGTTTAAATTTTGTAGAATGCAGTATCAGCAGGCATCAGTTTGCTTTAAATTCTAAGGGTAGAAAAGACCACTTCATACACATCCTTCTTGCATATAACACAGGCAACAAATGGCAATTGGAGTTACAGCCTGAAAAATTCATGTTCAGCTAAAGCTTATTCTAGTCAGAGGAAAAAAAATTATTTGGGTTAGTGGCTGCAGAGATGCAAAGTCTAGAACTCTATTGAACAGTTTATCATAGTCATCTTCACTGCTTAGATTAATTTCAGATTTACAGTTGTCTAGATCCTTTATTCATTGGCTTCTACCAAGCCTCTTTACTATATTAAGTAGCCCATCACCACCCAGAGTTTTCTAATTGAATGTCTCTCTACCAAGTCATAAATTTGTGAGCCAGCTTTCTTTTTGACAAAATGAGTTTTACCTAAATCTCCTACATGCTGGGCAATGCCCAAGACCCAGTGCAAAGGGTTATAATAATCTGATTTAGTAACATCTAACAGGACATTTCCTCAAAACTTCTGCAATTCCTTCTAATCCTAGTTGCTGTGGAAATGAACAGGAAGATGGACAACCACCAGAAAAAAAAAAAGAGCCTAGTAGCGCTCAGTGCAATGCCAATGTCAAGCACATCAAGAAGGAGAATTAAATGAACAGCCAAAATCCCATCCAGAGATGCACTACTCCTGTTTAAGAGAGAGACTGAGCTACAACCTGTCCATATGTAGTAGCTGAGGACAACCCTATCAATACTCCAACGAGGAGGTGGCTCCCTGTCTGACACTCACCATGCAGAAGTGCACAGCGCACCTACTTCTTCAGGTGTCCCCCAGCACGTACTCAGACCAGCTTGCCAGATCAGATAGACCACATCAACAACTAAGGTCTATTTCTAAAGACACTTGTGTCACCTCTACCTAGACTATATATATTTTTTTTTAAACCTTCCCTTGATACTTCAGGTTATACATTCAGAGAAATTTAAAGAGTAGATTCTTCATAATGATGGTGATCTGGCATATTCAGGTTTAGTAATGGAGCGTGGCCAAATGGCTTCATGAAGACAAGCTGGCCAGCTGCTTCTGGCTGGGCAGATGTAGTCTGCCATTAGGTGTGGGAACAAGAAAAAACAGAGACAATATGACAATACGAGTGATGGAACAGTGGTGTGACACTGGACAAAACACTCTATTCTCACTTAGACTAGTGCTTTATAATGTTTCTCACAAATTTTACTCTTTCTTGTCCCAAAGTATATTAAAAAAATTATTTCAGCCCCTCACCGGCACGAAATGTTTTGTTCTGTTCAGCTTTGTAACAAGCAGGGGAGAAATTCTTCTCTCCCAAAACCTCCACTAATAAAACCTAAAATTCAGTACATTAATTCCACAGCCCATCAGTGGTGTATTTTAAACATATGGACTGAGCAGCTTGTCTGGTTCTGGATGGACTGTTTTTCATTTATTTAGTAAGCCATTGGGCTTTTAGGGAGTCATTAGAGAAAATTATACACCAATAAAAACATATTAATGATAAGTAGCAATGAAACACCACTTTTCTTCCTCAAATTGCTTCACAAATGTGAGCTAATTCTTCCCAAGGATACATGTTTGAAGTAAGATAGCAATTATTTGAAAGCTAGCTTTACAAATAAAGAAACCGATGAAATAAAGCAATGCACTGCAAGTCACAGTGAGGTTTGTTAGAGGCTACCAGTTTGAAACACTGGACCCCCTCATATTCCACCAGAAATCATCTTTTCTTCCTTCTCTCAGTGAGAAGGAAAACTAAAATACAGCTACCTTGTTCCTGGGTCATGAAGGTCGTCATCTGCAAAAATTTAGAAGTTTTTGGATAGAAAATGAATATCACTTTTGTAAGAATATCAGCCTAACAGTACCTGATTAGCCCTGATTCACTGGCACCCAATTCCCATACAACACACAAAATCCCGTACCGTGAGCTGCTCCTGTGGAAATAAACAGTTGTGCTTACCAGAGGAAATACATTTGGACAAAGAGAGCACCAGAATCTCCAGCTTGTGATGGTGATTACAATCTGTCTAAATAATTGGGATCAAAGTCCACATTAATATAGACACCCATAAACACAGAGTGCAAAGGGACTAATAGTCACAACATGTTTTGGTTATATTCTCGAATATTTGTAATAAAGAGTATTTTCACATCAGTATTAGGGGAAGTAATAATTTGGTTTTGCACATATTTTCCTATTATGTTTATTCCCTTTTTAATGCTCTCAGAGATGTCTCAATGCAACATTACTGTAGGAGAGTCAGGTATTATTGCAACGTGAATACACACAGCAACAGAAGCACTTGGATGGTGATCTGCTAAAATAGCAAAGAACTAGAACTGCATTTCAGTTACTAGAAATTTCAATCCTGACATTATATGCAGGGGAAACATATAGCTCTGCATCAATCCATAGGCCTTTAAAGGGACCAGTAACAAAAAAAGATAGACACTGTAGCTGCACACTGTGTGTATACAGTGAACACATTGCTTTGGACACCACAGAAAGTAGAAAGAAATAAAGTGTCTATGACGGTCCACGTACATTCTTAGTCTTGGAAAATCCCTAAGCCACTGGTGACTGGAAGTATATGAAGAAAAGATTGCTCTGCATTCATCCTTAAGCTGTTATTACTGCACACAGTCACAAACTAGATGCTAGACCACATAGTCTGAACATTCTTATGTTGTATTACATAAAGAAAAAAAAAAAAAAGAAATATTAATTTCTCTGATGATCCCAGGTAACAAACAGCTAATAACAGCTAAAAGCTACAAAACTATATTTTTCTCCACCTGCAAGAGAAATAAATGAGTTCTTAAACATCATAAATGGTGTAGAGAATGATGTTTGGAAGTTTTGATTTACCATCTCTTCCAACACAAGAGCTATTAGAAAAAACTAGTAAGTGACAAGCTTGAAACAAACAAAACATGGTTCTCACAGCAGGAGGTTAAATTTGGTAATTCCTTGCTAAAGAATGTTGCAAATGCTACAACTTTACAGGAAGTCAAGGAGAGACTAGACAAGATCACAGGAGAAAAAGGTATCATAGGCTGTTAAATATAAAGACACCATTCCTGGAAATTCACGAGCTAGAAATTCTTAGAGGCTGGGAGACTGTTTTGGGGATGCATCACTAAACACCTGCCACTACTTAGTTTTTCCATAATAATCCACTGTTGAATATTTGGCTTCGCGGTATTTTGTCTTAAGAGGTATGGCCATCCTTCTATTACAGTCTCCAAAAAAAGGGGAATCATCACAGCAAGTAGACAGAAACAGATCATTTGGTTCCACCACACTCAGTAAGAATTTGAACGAGACTTTCTAGCCCCCTTCCCTTGCACCAATTTCTGCGTATGGTACTTCAGCAGTACAACAGTGAAATCATCCATAGGAAGGAGAATAGAAGCAAAAGTCTGGGTGAGACCATGTGAGCTGTATTTGTGCTAGCTAGTGACATGTAACAGTGGGAGCAGAAGCTCTGTTGGTATTGAGGACACTATACACAAGGATTTTCAAATAATTTTATTTTTGACTAGCTATAGTCTGGTCCTCTGGACTGAAGGCCCATTAGTAGCTGCAGAGTTAACTTTCAATTAATCTTAATCTAAAAGGAATTCAGTTCCTTTGCTCCAAGGCTGTTCCATGTGTGAACCATAGTAAGTAATGACAATCCAGAAAATTTCTTCCAAAATGCACTTCTGACCTGAGGTGAAACACTGACATAGACATCTCTGTTCTCCAGCTCTTGGGAAGTATCAACCATGGCATAGAAGGCACATAAAATATAAAGCCACAAAGCCATGCTAAAGGTGTGGGGGAGCATTAATTCCTTTCCACTGGCTTATGACTTGAAGCATGAGATAAGTATATCCTAAATGTTCATTTCTACTTTCTTTACTCAGTTTATTATTAATGAACATTATAATATTTAACCACATAATTCCAGACATGTGATAACAATATTACATAACAATGAGATCTATCAGGATCATTAAGTAGTCCATCAATAATACTTTATTTTATTGCTTTAAATTCACTGCCATTCCATTTCAATGATAGCCCCCTTTTTCTTGCATGACAAGAGAATATAAAAAAAGGTTCTCGCTCAGAGATACAAGAAATGTAACAGCGGAGCATGAGACAGACAAGTGTTTTGCTGTAATAGGAGACTGCTTGGCCAATAAATGTAATGGGGTTTTTTTTCTTAATCCTTTCTGTTTCTTGACAAAGAACTCTACTACAATACATTCATGTTAGTCTTAACTGAATATTTCTTATTTAAGAGGAAAACTCTTTTCCTCTGAACTTCTCCTCATCAGTCAAGATCAATAGGAATTTTAAGATGGACTGGTCACATTGCTCACATGAATGTACCCAGCACAGGCTTTGCTATAATAGGCAGTAAGTACTCCCACTGCAAAAATCAACTCCTAATGCCTCTAGGGGAGATCCAGGCCAAAATGGCAGAGGAGGAAGGCAATATTACTGCAAAGTCATACCATAAGAATGCTGCATGCAATGTGCCTTGCTGCATTGTTCGCATGCTACTTGCTATAAAGACCACCACATTGGTTTTTTGCATGTTTTGTTGTAGCTGGTGATACAGTATCTAGATACAAATCTAATTTTCCCCTAACTTAAGGGCTGTACCATGGGGATGAGACGCAGTCTTTCTTACTGGTTGAAGTTAAGAGGGAGGCAAAAGTATAATAACGTGCTAGAGAAAGGAAATTAAACCCCTGGGTTCATTTAATTTTAAAATATGTCTCAACAGTTTTCATGGGTTCATAATATTTCAGAAGAAAGGTCTTCAGGAGCTAAGGTACTTCTTACCCCTTTTTATAGCTTTTCAGAAATTAACTTTACAATCTACACAGCAGAGGAAACGTGAAACAATCTCACAAATCTTAGAGTCTTCTGGGGCAGGGAAAAAAAAGCAACAGCTTTCCTTTTTCCAGAATCCTGAAAAAATAGGCCATCACAATTTTGGCACAGGGGACAGCACTGTGAGAACACTTTACTGGCAGAGGCTTAGCTTAAGGAAGAAAGAAGCTCAAGGAGCCATAGCCTTCCTCCTCCTCATTTTCACCAGCCAGTGTAGCACAATGTCCCAGGACACAGAATGTGCTCATGCCTGCAGATGCAGCTGCCTTTTCTCTTCCCATATGGGAGTCAGGGCTGCTACCACTCAACATATCAGGCTTGTCATTTTCTGCTTAAGAGAAGGCAAGTGCTTAGGATAGAAAAATTTCAGTGACTATTACCCTGAATTCATAAGTGGCCAGTGTTGTGCTTGTGCTGCACTAGAAGTCTTACCTTTCCACACTGCTTACATTTCCCCTCCTGCCTCCGCCTGTGCACCCAGTGGTGTCGGACAAAGTTCTGCAAAAGAAAGACAAAAAAAAATATGTTATAGAAGCAATGACAGTTTGCACTCAAAGGTACCATCTGTGGGAAATTAGTTTACAGACACCAAATGAAAGGTCATTCAGCCAATGCAATCTTTTCTGGAGCAAAATGCATCAGTCCCCACAGGCAACCCCAGACACAACCAAAACCATAGGAGGAATAAGGATGAGATGGTGTTCTTTTATCCATGGTGAAATGTGGCTAGAACTACACTCTCAGTACTCTTCTACAAAAAGAAGAAAGTTCATTACATGATTCAGAGATAATCATCACCTAAATGCAGAGCACAGAAGTGCCCAAACACTGCTGTTACCAGGCACAATGCAGGACCTTGCTCTGTTCTGCTTGGAAATATAGCTTTATAATGCAAAAAAAACACAAGTCAGTGCAGGAGAAGTGAATGAGAGAAGGAAGGAGTAGTCATTGAAGCAGTCTTTTATCCTTGTTTGGACTACTGACACCCTGGATGGCAGCAAGCAGTGGGCAAAAGACAGGAGACCAAGCTGGCCACCAAATTGACTATAAAAGTTAAGAGATGTTTTTGAAACACTGGCTTCTAGCTAGGCAAGATAGATACATAAATATACCAATAGCAATAATAAATACCCAGCACCTTCAAAGGAGCTGAATTCATGCAGTAGCTGGAGGCAAACCATAAGATTTTTGAATGGTTTATTGTTTTTACTAAAAAAAAAAAAAAATCTTTGGACACTACAGATACTTCCAGAAAAAAAAAAAAAATATGCGAGAAGCAAGTGGAAGGAGAAGGAAATAGAGAGAAAATAAAGAATACTAGTTCCAAGGTCAGGAAGAAAAATAAATGCTATGCAAGAAAAAAAAAAAAAAGACTGGCTGAATGAATGGGAAAAGAGAGACAACAGAAAGATGAAATGGTTTCTGTCAGCAGAAGTAATGGAGTCCTTCAGCTAGAATTCATTTTACATTTATTCTGGGGAAAAGAACATGCCCCACTGGGAACCAATATTCTGTCCAAGGCTCCTCTGAATCTAAAAGCACTGCTGCAGCTCCACATCGGGTGGATCAGCACACAAATTAAATGAAAAGCAACTGTCATTTGTCCATTACTTACCTCTCTTGGAGATCTGGAGCCTCCTTCTCGGAAAGTTGGTTTGCAGCGAAAATTAATCTGGCATTAAAATAAAGCTGTTAGAACTGAAAGTGAGCTGAGTGAGAATTTATTCCAATATGTCAATATGTTGATCGAGGTCAGACTTCTAAAATATTTATTTTCTCTTAAAATATTAGCTTCACTAGCTGAACAAAGGAACTTACTTGGATGCCAGAAAATCTAAATCTCTTTTCATATGCCATAATAATTCCCCTTGCTAGATTTCTACACAGCCTTCATCTTCACTAACACTATTGCTGCCTGCTCAGTTCAATTGTTTAAGCTGTCTCCCCCTTGCCTAGAAGGAAACCACTTCATCTGCTTTTTTCTGAGGATCATTTCCACAGTGGACTTAAAATGAAGTCTCAAAAGTTAATAGGACCTGGACATCTAACTCTGTAAGTCCATTTTGCACATCCCAGCTTTATATCTTCATAAACAAAATCTGTGGATAAATCTTCATTCACATAAAGAACTGTGCAAATTACCCTATATTTCTATCTCTTGCTCAGATCACGCTGCTTTTATCCACCACCCCAACCAAAAACCATTTGAGGAGCATTGTATTGCCTCATGCAGGGGTTTTGCCTTCTTCAGATGGGAGAGGAAGGACAGAAAGAAGACAAAAGGAGCTTCCATGAACAGAAAAAATTTTTAGGAAGATGAAGAGAAAAAGCATTTGACAAACAACAAGGGAGTCCTATGAGAAAAACCCAAAATCACTTGAGGAAAAAAAAAAAAACAACCAAACAAAAAAATAGAAATAAAAGAAGGGGAGATGTAGAAAGAAAAAAAAATATATACTGAAGAAGAGAGAGGCGTGGGAAACAACCAAACAAAAAAAATAGAAATAAGAGAAGGGGAGGTGTAGAAAGAAAATATATATACTGAAGAAGAGAGAGGCGTGGGAAAAGGCTAAAGGATACTTGAGGTAAGGTTGCACTAAATGAAATGGATTCAAGCTCAAGCTGATTATCCTTCAAAGAATAAAATGCTTAGGGATACTTCACAGCTACGCTTTTCTCATGAA